AGCGCAGGTGGGACTTTGGAGCAACTGAAAGTAATCTTGTGTGCCAATTTGTACCAACTACTAATACCCTCTAGTAATATTCGTCGATAGGACCCATTTGTTGCGAGCTCCACGACAATTGTTTGGTCTTGTTAAAAATATTATCAATTAGGTGTAATACAAATGAACATATAAGTAAAAGAGGGAGTTCTGGTAGGCACAGCAGCTGGCTGCCTTGTGAAAAAGCCTAACTGTACCCGAAGCTCCCATCGAAGTCACCATCAAGTGAATAAGGTTACTTATATCGACACCGCACTAGCCATAGAAAAACGCTTGGAAGAAGCATTTGTATTGAAATCTAGTCGATTTTTGAATGCAAGTTTTGTGCAAGAAAACAAGTTGTTTTTAGTAGCTGCTACTTCAGTAGTACTATCAAACACTTGTGAATTCTGAGGTCTTTTTCATTAGTCTTTTCATTACTTCGCTGATATTCCATCTGCGTTAGAATGTATGGTTGATTAGTACGATGATTTACTGTAGAAAGTTTGCAGTTTAGTCAATGTTGCTATAATTAAGCAAAAATGCGGTCTCCTGGGACCGTATGGCCCGCCGGCGGGCCACATGCGTGTCTGGCGTGCGGTCCCACACGCTAGACACGTTTAGAGCGCGCGGTCGTCAAAGGGTCAAGAAGCGCTGTCATTTCAAAGCGAGTTGGCCTGTACTGAATCTCGGAGGTGGCTAAACAAAAACTTGTTAGCGGCAGAATGTTCGACTTTGCTAGTCGGGTTACCATCCGGGACTGTCCTCCAGATCATGTGGTGCCGTGTGTATGGCACTTGTCACTACCGCATCACCTCCCGCATGGTGGCAATAGTATATAAATTTTGTTTTTGCTGCATACCCTCTCTCAGCCGCTTTTCTGTATGTTTTTTCTCGGATAAAACTGCAAAATATGCTTTTTCAGGTAGATCCAAAGAAACCTATCGGTGGTCATATACTTGCTCATGCTTCAACAACACGTATTATGCTGAAGAAAGGCCGCGGAGAGACTCGCATTGCTAAGGTAATGAACACTCCAAATGATATCGAGCCATTTGTTTATAGTGTCCAGCCATCTCAAATCTGTTCCTACTGGTGATGATCCACGGCGATTCGTTAGCTCACATCAGTCGAAACGATGTATTAGACCACCAATAATCTCGGGAGAAATATGATGAAAAAGATGAAAACCTTGGTTCTTTGTTTGAAGAAGTCGCGCATTCCTTTCTTATCTTCAGACCAGTTTTTTTTATTTGTAATTGATTCAGAACCTGAACAGTTGGTGCAGATATTACAATTGGTACTTGTTTTCGATATCTCACAAGGAAAGGCTCTCAGGTCGCCATGGCCATTCAAGAAGAGGTGTATACCACTAGATGTGCCTTTGAACACTAATCTCAAATGTTTATTTATTTAT